GCGGCGTGGGCAAGCCTCGCGGCGGAGTTCGAGGCGCGACGCTCCCGCGGCTCAGCCCGCAGCGGGGGTCGGACAGAGGGGGACGGGAGCGAGTGCGCCAAGGATTCGGAGGGAGATCGGCAGAGCAATCCAGCCTTACTACAGTCGGGGCCCTGAAGAAGGAACCCTTTTCGTTGGGGAGGGGCTCCGTGTTCCTTGATTGCTTCACAGTTTGGGTTTTCGATGGGAAATCGAAGTCCAACTTGTGGATCTACGGGGCCTCGTTCCTTATTTAGGGTTCCTTGGATCAACGCTCCGACTGTATTCCCGAGGAGGATGAGCCGCAAGAGTGGACAGTGTCCTGATGGGAAGAAGTCCTGAGCTGTTTCGCCGATTTCGGTCGCGCGTGAAGGAACCGGGTCCTGAAGGAAACGGGTCCTGGATCCCAGGTCCCCGGGCCTCCCCCTTGGTTTCGTTCATTAGCTCGGGACCGTGGGCCTCCTCGACCTCGACCTCGTCCTCGGCCTCCTCGCCCTCGACCTCCTCCTCACTCCTCCTGGCTCCTCGCTCCTCCCTCCTGGAGGAGGAGGAGGAGGAGGAGGAGGAGGAGGAGGAGGAGGAGGAGGAGGAGGAGGAGGGAGGAGGAGGAGGAGGAGGAGGAGGAGGAGGAGGAGGAATTGCTGTTTGATGGTCCCCCAGCCCGGGGAGGGCCCCCGTGAAGACCTCTGTCCTCCAGGACCCCGTCCTTCGGTGCCGACGGGCAGGGCCGACGCCCAGAGAATCTCCCGAGCCTCTGGGGCTCGGGCTTCTCCGAAGAGAGCGAGCAACGAGCCGCGGGAGCCGTTGCCCCCAAGACCTGGCTTGAAGTCGGGCCTGTCCCTCTACAGGAGGAATGCTCAAACAACAGTTTTACAAATGTCTGGGACGACTTTTTGACTATTGTTGGCAATTGTTTGAGCATGTGCCTGTCCCTCTACAAGTGGAGTGCTCAAAAATAGTTTTAGAAATGTCTGGGACGACTTTCTGACTATTGTTGGCAATTGCTTGAGCATTTTCGGGTATTCTTATTTTTCGCCCCACATCCGCCTGTAGGAGGACATGCCCGACCCACACCTGGCTGCCTCATGCCGAGATCCCTGGTCGGGAGTGGCCGAACGGAGTCACTGGCCCAAAGTGCCCCCAGAGTGTCGTTCCTCCCTGGAGCCTCCGGGGCCCCCTGGGCCACGCGAGAGGTGATCCGGGTCTTACTACTACCACTAATATTATTACTACTACTACTACTACTACTACTACTACTACTACTACTACTACTACTACTACTACTACTACTTTTACTACTACTACTACTACTACTACTAATACTACTACTATACTACTACTACGTACGAATACTACTTACTACTACTACTACTAAGACTACTAACTGTCTAACCACTAATTATCTAACTACTACTACTTACTACTACTATACTACTACTACTACTATATACTGCTACTGCTACTACTTTCTCTAATGCCTCTAACTACTAAACTCACTACATTACTACTCGTAGATTTACTAATACTACTTACTAATCTACTACTACTTACTACTACTTACACTACTTACTACGACTACTACTAGAACTACTACTTTTACTACTACTACTACTACTACTGCTACTACTATCACTACATTTATACTACTACTAATACTAGTAGTAGTAGTACTACTACTACTACTACTATACTATACTACTACTACTACTAATACGACTCTATTACTATACGACTACTACTACTACTACTACTACATAATTACTTACTACGAATTACTACGACTACTACTTAACTACGACTACTACTACTACTACTACTATACTGCTACTACTACTACTACTACACTACGAGTACTACTACTACTATTATAATACTACTACTACTACTTATATCTACGTACTATAGTACTATACTACTACGCTTGCTACTACTTACTACTACTACTACCACTAATACTAATACTATACTGCTATATACTAATACTGACTATACTACTCTACTACACCTACTACTACGACGACTACGACTACTACTACTACTACTACTACTACTACTACTACTACGACTACTACTGCTACTATTACTACTACTACTACTACTACTACTACTACTACTACTACTGCTGCTGCTGCTGCTGTTGCTTCTTCTTTTTCCACTACTACTACTACTACTACAACTACTACTACTACTACGACTACTACTACTTTTATTACTACTACTACTACTACTACTACGACTACGACAATGACGACGACGACGACGATGACGACGACTACTATTACTACTAGTTCTACTACTACTACTACTACGACGACGACGACGACGACTACTACTACGACTACTACTACGACCACCATTACTACTACTGCTACTACAACTACTACTACTACTACTACCACTACTACTACAACTACTACTACATGTACTAATACTTCTACTTCTATTTCTACTACTACTACTACTCCTACTACTACTACTACTACTACTACCACTACTACTACTACTACTACTACTATTACGACTACTACTACTACGACTACCATTACTTTTGTTAATACTATTACGACTACGACTACGACTACGTCTACGACTATTACTACGACTGTCACGGTTACTACTACTTCTATTGCTACTATTACTACTACGACTACGACTAGTACTAGTACTTGTACTACTACTGCTACTACTACCACTACTACTACTACTACTATTACTACTACTACTACTACTACTACTACTACTACTACTACTACTACTACTACTACTGACAATACGACTACTAATATTACTTATACTACTACTTCTACTTCTACTCCCACTTCTACTTCTACTACGATTATTTCTACATCTACTACTACTACTACTACTACTACTACTCCTACTACTACTACTACTACTACTACTACCACTACTACTACTACTACTACTACTACTACTACTACTAGTACTACTACTACTACTACTACTACTACTACTACTACTACTACTGCTCTACCACCACTACCACTACTTCTGAGTGCGGTGCGAATTCTGCTCCATTTATTACCACAACTACCACTACGACCTCTACCTCTACTACTACTACTACTACTACTACTACTACTACTACTACTACTACTACTACTACTACTACTACTACTACTACTACTACTCCTATCCTTATTCCTTATTAGAATATACTCCTACTCCCCCCTCAGGCCGGCCGATAGGGGCCGCATCCGGGTGGTCCCATCCTAACCTGTAAAAAAACAATACAAAATCAGCATTTTTCTTATTTTTTCCTCTCGACATGGACGTCCTGTCGTCCACGGCGATAATCCATTGCAAAAAATACCACAAAGAGCACACGCGCGCGTTCATGTCAGAATCCTACCGAACACCGTGTGTTTGCAAGCATTTCAACATAAAAACAAAAAAAAAAAAATGTTTTTTTTCACAAAAATTATACAAATTTCCTGCCCGGGCTCTCTTGCTGAAATCATAGGAAAACCATAGGAATCTTAAGAATTCGGTCAAATCCAGCGATTTCACGTCATCGCGCGGTGCACTCGCGATGCTCTGTCATGCACCCAGGCCGCGAATCCTGTGCAAAAAATACCACGCGGGCGACATGCGCGCGCGTCGCCGCGAGCGCATGCTCAAATCCTTCTAGAGTCGTCGCCGTCATTGGCACCGTCGCATGGACGTCCTGTCGTCCACGTCGCAAAATGCATGGCAGGAATGGGACGCGGCGCACACCCCGCGCCCGCCCATCCAATCCGTCCCATTCTAATCTGCAAAAGACAATACACAGTTTTTGTTTTTCTTGTCAACATGGTCGTGCTGTCGTCACGTCGCAAAATGCGTGGCAGGAATGGGACGCGGTGCACACCCCGCGCGAAGGGGTGACATGTCGCTCTCGCCTCGGCGCCGCGCACCAACGTTTTTCCTCTCAGCATGGACGTCCTGTCGTCCACGTCGCAAAATGCTTGGCAGGAATGGGATGCGGCGCACACCCCGCGCCCGCCCATCCAAACCCCCCCTTTTATAAAAAAACAGTACAAGTTGGGGCCTTCAGGCTTCCTGCGGTGTACCGGGCCATTCTCGACTCGTCTGGCAATGCGTGCGCGGCATTCAACACGCGCTCGCCAGTTCCCGTCGGCAACCGCCATCGCGGCCGCATCAGCTGTACCAAACCGGCGGCCGGTGTGACTTCGGGTGTGACTTCGGCCCCCAGTTGTGCCAGCTTTGCTTCTTATGTTGTGGGAGGGCGGGTGGGACTGGGCATGCCATGCTTGACTCGCTCGAGCTGGCTAGCTTGACCACCTACTCCTACTCCTACTACTACTACTACTACTACTACTACTACTACTACTACTACTACTACTACTACTACTACTACTACTACTGCTACTACTACTATACTACTACTACTACTACTACTACTACTACTACTACTACTACTACTACTACTACTACTACTACTACTACTACTACTACTACTACTACTACGAGTACCATTAAGGCATCAGCGAACATCCGTGACGCATTCATCTGTCAATGCGTCCCCCCCCACTGATCAATGTTGGTGGTGGGTTGAACGAGCTGCACTTCGACCGCAGTCTGCCCCGCGCGTGCCAACTTTGAGTTTGGGGTGGGCGGGGGAGACCGCCGTCTGGAGACCGCCGGGCCTCCCTGGACGCCTCGGGGTGCGGAGGCCAGCCCACAGACACAGCATTGCACGAGCGGTGGTCGACCCAGCGGTGTTGTGGAAACTGTGTAGAGCGATCCCTGTGCATGAGCAGAACCCTTCGGAGTTGCGCACTTCTCGGACCGGCGGCGCGTCCAGCGTCGCCCCTAGCACGCTCCGCGCACCAGGAAGGGGGCTCCAGCGCCGATCCGAGAAATCCGCGCGGACTTTAGAAAATGTATGGTTATGCCATTGCTCAGCCTCTGAACTGTGACAAGCAGGATCCGCCGGCATCGAATGGCGAAGTCAGATCGGATCGGCATGCATCGGCACGGAATCGAATCGAATCGAACCGATTGCGCCCAGACACGCAACTACGCTACGAACATCGGGTAGCATCGGACTTCCAGGACATGGAAATCGAATCGGATCGAGCCGGCAAGAATCGATATCAAATCACATCGATCGGATCGAAGCTGACCCTGGACATTTGGTTCAGACCCATCTCCAGCGACAGCCGACCCAACAAGTCGTGAGCTGTCGATCTGGGCCTGAACGGCTAGCAAAGGAGACGGCGAGGCTCGGAACAGCAGTGGCAAAACAATAGCAGCGACGTTTTGAATCTTACGTCGACGAATATGGGTCTGGCTACTGCTGCGAAATCCCGGAGCCGCGCTATGCTTCAAAACCTGTTGCTGCCCGCAGTGCGAATCTTTCTAGTGTGTCCAAGCTTCTCGGTGAGTGTCAAGGCCAACCGTAGCAGAGTCCACAGAGGCGACCTGGACGAAGTAGGTCACCGTCGCCTGTTCTGATTCCGAGAATGGGCTGCCTGACGCGACGATGCCGAACGAGGTACCTGGGAGCTGGAAGCGGGAGCAGCAACACCTGCTCTTGCCCGAATTTCTCGAACACCCTCGCGAGCCGAATCGGGGCAGGCTGGGAAGCTGCCCATCGCTCGAGACTTTGACAGCTCCCCACTTGGTATGGGGGAGAGGGGACTCCTGAAGGAGAACGGGCCCTGGACTCCCTGGGCGCTCCCCGGGACCAGCCTTTCCTCCTGAGCAGGCGAGGGCCCCCAGAGTCCGAAAATCTACCGAGAACCGTCCGTCGCGATTTTGACGTGGCCTGCCGCCTTCCGCCTCGGGTCTCCCCCTCCTCCTGCTCCTCCTCCTGCTCCTCCTCCTCCTGCTACTCCTCCTGCTCCTCCTCCTCCCCCTCCTCCTCCTCCTCCTCCTCCTCCTCCTCCTCCCCCTCCCCTTCCCCTCCCCTTCCTCCTCCTCCTCCTCCTTCCCTCCTCCTCCTCCTCCTCCCCCTCCTCCTCCTCCTCCTCCTCCTCCTCCTCCCACGGGGTCTGGGTCCTCCGCCTTGCGCCTCGGGGCCCTGTCCCGGGGCGCGCCCCCGGGAGGTGCAGGAGCTCGTGTGGGACAGCGTCGGCCGCCACCGGGAGGCAGCCCCAGAGGAGAGCGGCCCTGCCGTCCTGTCGTCTCCCGCGGCGGAGGGGGGTCGGGGGCGGCAAGAGAGGGGGGTGATGACTCGAGGGGGGGATATCATAGCGGGGGCCATGCTATTTCCCCGGATTTTCCGGCGCCTCGTCTTATCTCACCACGTCCCTGGCACCCCCCTATGGGCCGCGCACACGCCGCCAGTCATGAGTTGCACCCCCCCCCCCTTGGACACCCCTCTCTTGGCCGCTCCCGAGGGGGCGGAGGGCCGGGAGGGACGGAGGGAAGTGGAGGAAGCCCAGGCATCCGACCTCGCAAAACAGACACGAGGCTGCGGTGTTTCACGGTTCTGGGCCTCCAGGGGGGCCCTCGTCGGGCCCCAGGACTGTCGAACATTGGCTCGGGAGGAAGAGCTGGACCGACCTAAGAAGTCCGCGGGTACTCCCGACAGTTCGCAGTGGTGTGTCGTCTTCGTGCCTCCTGCGAGCAGATGAGCAGCCTCGGCTTCGTTGTGAGAAGCATCCTTTCCGCTCGCGATGGTATTTATCTGAGCCCACAAGTTCGCGTCGGCCACCCCCTTGGGCTGAGGATGGCGCTGGGGCAACCATCCCTCGGAGGGCTGTAGGGAACAGGAACAGGAACAGGCTATCCTACGTAATAACCCAGAAAAGTTGAGTTGCCCTCTTACGCAATTCAGCCTTGCTGAACTGCTTGGGCCGGAACAGATACTCGTGGTGATGGGGCTCTAACTCATAGGTGCATGCTTTCGCTACTCACGCAACGGCGGGCTGTAGTGGCGAAGGGGCGTGGAGAAGGGGGGACGGAGGGCTAGAAGCACGAAGGGACGGAGGGACAGAGGGAGGGAGGAGGGGAAGGAAAGACGGAGGCGGTGAGCGACAGCAAACAGAAGCCGCCAGCAGCGCCGCGAAAAGACATCGCAGCCGCTCTTCCCTATCAGCCAGAAGGGCTTGTGCCAAAAAGTTGTGTGACCGAAGATGTGTCTGGACTTATGACCGACAACGCAGTCTGACCGAATTTGTGACCCGAATTTCAGTGTTTGGTCACCCTCGGGCGCATTCGGGAAACACCTGGCGCTGGTTTCGGTAACACATGTCTCGCCGCGGGGGGAGTTGTTTAGCATCCTCCCCTGACGTCTCTGTGCCGGCGCCGCCGCCCGCGGCCGTTGCACCATTATTTGTTTCCGCAGTTGCATTTTCGGGCGAAGAGAACTATGCACATGCACTGATCCAGGCAAGGCCCATCCTTGACCCAGGATCGGTGCATATGCCTTCCTGGCCAAGGCAGGAGGGCGTATGCACCGATCATGGGCTCAGGATGGGTCTGGCCAGAATCGGTGCATGTGCATAGTTCTCTTTCCTCTATATTTTGAATCAAGGATTAGGTTGGCACCGCTGCCCAACGTCACGTGCGTAAAAGGGAGTGCGCAAGGTAGTCGCCGAGTCGCCGACCCTCATCCCGTACACACATACCCCTTACATAACTGCTTATTGGATATCTCCGCCATGTCCGCACGACATGTTCAGAGCAGTAACGAGACCGATTTTGCATCATCTTCACACTCCACACTTGCTGATGATTCCAGTTCTCTGGCAAATAACTTCTCCCGGTACGCTGGGCCAGCGTTTCGAATCCAGCTTGCCAGAATATTGGCCCAGTTTCTTGAGCAGGTTCGCCCCTCCGGCGTTAACGGGACAATTTGGCCAAGGGTTGCCTTTAGACATATCATGAAATTGACCTTGGTTTCTGAAGTTCTATTTGTCTTGATCATTTGGTCGGCTGTACTCTGGGCTCCCACGGGAAATTAGATAACTCCAGAGCGCCGCGGATCCCGACGCGAGCAGCGCCCACTGCGCAGCCCCACGCCGCCAGCTCCCAGCAGCCTGGCGCTGCGCGGCGGCGGGGAAGAAGGAGAGGAAACGAGGGGCAGGCAGACGACGACGAACGCGCTGACGGGATGTGTGCTGATGACTCGCTGGCGCCACTGGGCCGGAAGCCCCGCCCAGATCACGCCATTGCGGTGGAAGGTTGCCGGCGTCCTCGTCGTTGTCCCCGTCCTCCTCGTCGTCTTCGCCGCCGCCATCATGGTCGTCCGTCTTCGTCGTCCTCGCCGTCGTTGCCGTCCTCGTTCGGCGCCGCCGTCGCCCGCCGCTCGCCGTCGCTCGCCGCCCGCCGCTCGCCGCCGCCGCCGCCGCCGCTCGCCGCCGCCGCCGCCGGTGGTGCCACCAGCGCCGCGGCCGGGGGCGCCGAGAGACCGCGCGATCGGTGTCGCCGACGGTCCTCGACGCCGCCGCCCGGCCGTGCCGCGTGCGCCGCGGCCGGGGCCGCTGCCGCTCGCCGCGCACGAGGAGGCCTGGGCGCGCGGCCTGCTCCAGCGCGCCCTGCGGCTCGCCGAGGCCCTCTGCCGGCGCGCCGGGGCGGCCCCTCGCCAGAGCGGCCTTTTTGGTGCGGGCCTCGAGGGAGACGTGGGGGTCGTCGGTAATTAGGCTGGCGTCGTGCGGTTGGCGTGCGTTCGCACGTTTTTTTTGGTACGGTAGGTCGGCGTCGGTCGGTTGATGCGTCTTTTTGGTGCGGCGGGTTGGCGTCGTGTCGACCGGCGGCGGCCCCGCCGCCGGCGTTAAGCGTTGACCGCCGCCAGCCACCCAGAATCGGTCGATTTTGAACGAGCTGGCGTTTCGGAAACGGCCGAGTCGATCGTTCAAAGGCGAACAATCCCCGCAGTGCCAGTAACCGAGGCCGAAATTGGCACGGCACGAACCTGCCGTGCATGAGGGGGCGAAGACGGGTGCCCCCCTTGCGCCCGAATTAATTCGGAGCCTTTTCCGCGGCCCCCTTTCGGGCCCCAACGGGACACGAAAGGTGCACGTTTCTCCCTCCTCATTTGGTGCGTTCCAAACAGGGCCTGGCCTTCGAGGACAGACAGAGAGATGTCATCTCTTCCTTGGCGGAAGGCGGTGGAAGGGCGGCGACAGGCCGGCGGAAGTAAAACGAGGCCGCCTCCGCCGGCGGAAGGCTGGCGGAGGGCGGCGGGAGTAACATACAGTCGGGGCCCTGAAGAAGGAACCCTTTTCGTTGGGGAGGGGCTCCGCGTTCCTTAAGTGTTTCGCAGCTTGCCTCAGGTTTTCCTTATGCTTTCGATCGGACATCGAAGTTGAACTTCTAGAAAAAAAAAGGGGCCTCGTTCCTTATTTTGGGTTCGTTAGGTCAAGGCCCCGACTGTATGTTTCCCCAAGAGGGGATTCGGGGGCCGCGGATTGGCAAGCCATGTCGGCGAATGCCGGGGAAGCGGCGCTTCCTTCGCCGCACGGTTTTGCTCTGCGTGGCTCGCCGCCGAGCCCTAAGCGCTCCGAGTTTTTCCAAGCCCCCCATCCCGCAGAGCGGAGCGACACGCTAGACGGGTGGAAACCCGCAGGCCATGGCGTGCCGCAGGGGCCGCCGCCGCGGCACGCTGAGCAACAGCTCCTGGCTCCTCCTCCTCCTCCTCCTCCTGACGCCTGACCCCTGACTCCTCCTCCTCGTCCTCCTCCTCCTCCTCGTCCTCCTCCTCCTCCTCCTCCTCCCCCTCCTCCTCCTCCTCCTCCTCCTCCTCCTCCTCCTCCTCCTCCTCCTCAGCCCCCCGCGCTCAGGCGTTCCTGCACACGGGGCTGGTGTACATGCGGCCCCCCGCCAACCGTACTCGTGCGGAGCTGGCGGCCACCCACTCGGCCAGCTCTCTCTTACACACTGTACCTTTCAGGTGATGTGTTCTGCTTGCCTTGTTTCTCGCTGTGCTGACATTCGTGCATTGGGACTGTATGGCGGCAGATGAGAGCAGACTGCAAGATATTAGTGAGGAAATGCGCACTGTGGACATTATCGCACTTACAAGCACGTGCGAGCGGGCGGCACCAGACCAACCCACTGTGTTCACCACGCTGCGCCACCACTTCGCGCTCAGGTGCGGATTTATACCAGGTAAGTTTGTCAATCGTTCGTGTGGCATCACTCTCCTTCTCCGAAAACGGGTTTTTCGACGTCGCCACCTCGTTGACGTCCCTGCAGTGCCAGTCTCTCTCAGTGGGCGGGTTGCTATATTTCGGCTGCGGTCTGGACGCTTCGACATTCTCATTCCAGTGACATACTTTCCACCGAAGCCGTCGGGGAAGCGAGCGGGCCGCGAGAGCGACGACGGTCCGCAGCGCCTTTACAGATTGACCGTCGACGCGATGATCTCGTGGCTTGAGAAGACTCTGACCTGGTCGTGCAAGCGGTCCGCCCTGCTATGGGGGTTCGACATGAATGACTCGTTCGGCTGGCGTCGAAGAGCGGGGGGGCGTGCAGGAAGCTGTCGCATCGCCCGCACTGGGTCCGCACAGGACGGGCGAACAGAGGTACGCTGCCGATCGTGTTTTGGAAGTCATGGAGCGCCACGCTGTGGCGGTGACCTCGACAGATTTTCCCCTGGGGCCCAGTTACTACGGAGCTTCGGGATCGTCTCAGATTGACTTCGTGGCCGTTCTTGCTTGGCAGAAGAGCAGGGTGGACCGCTGCCTGGCGATGCGCCCGTCCAACCTGAGGCTGAAGCTGGTCAAGAAACACGGGCTTCAAGATCACGTGCCCATTCTCCTACGTCTGAACTACGAGTTCGACATGGCGGCGTCTAAGCATGGCACGCAGTGGGACTTCGACAGACTCGGGGAAGCTCTCCGTCGAGGCACAGGGGCGCGCGCCTTCCTCGCGGACCTGGAGGCGCAGTTCGAGGGGGTGGACTTCCACGATCTACTGCTCCACGCTCCCACCCCCGACCTGGGCTGGGAGAAGTGGGTGACCACGGTGTTCGAGGTTGCTGACAGGCACTTCTCACGCGCTGCCGCTGCCGACCCTCAGGCCGCCGAGCATGCTCGAGAGCGGAGTCGCCTCCTCGAGGCGCGGCGCCTGGCCAGGGCGAACGGCGACGACGACTTCGCGACGTCCATGCAGCTGGCTAGGCTCTCTCGCCACCTTCGCCAGCTGCGGAGGGCCCGCCAGGCAACCGTGACTGAGCGGCTAGTGTCGGAGATCGGTTCGGCTTGGCAGAAGCGACAGCACGCTGAAGTCTGGAGACTGGCTCATGCACTTGCGGCAAAATGCGGGGGGCCCAAACGTAGGCGGTACAACACCGTCGACGAGTTCGTTCCGAAGATCTCAGAGATTCGGGAGCACTTTGCCAAGCCGGGGCCCCAGGGAGGCCTCGAGGTCGTGCCGATAGAGTTTCTGGAGTACCAGAAGGCTCAGCTCGAGGTCTCCCCGAAGCCCCCCATGTGCGGTATCGATAACTTCGAGCACGTCGAGTTAGGGCGGTCCGACCTCGAGCAGGTTCTCGAGCTGCTGGCGAAGGCTCCTCGTCGTAAGGCCGCTCCTCTGCACAGTGTACCCTCAGAGGTCCTCATATCTGCTCTTCATCCGCAGCGACGATTCGACGGTACTTACCGACGGCCGAAGAAGAGAGACGACGACGAGGGGGACGGCGACGGACCCTCTCGAGCTCCTGCTTTTGTGCCTCGTCATCGCTTAGCAGGGGATCGACGCGGGCTAGGCACGGCACCCGAGTCGTTCGACAACACTCACACGCCCAGGGGACTCCAGAAAGTGTTCCACCGCATCAGGAGGGTAGGTAGGACCCCGCTGGTCTGGCATCATTCTCGGGCAACTGGACTGAGCAAGCAGAATGGCAAGCAAGGCTTCGGGGCCCTCAGGTACATTCACGGGCCCTGTCGCATGGGGGTCGTCTGGTTCAAGGCGCAGCTCTTGAAAGGTCCCCCCGATGAGGCTCCAGACCGTGAACACGGGTACCATCATGGGCGCAACAGGGAGGGAGCCATGATCTGTCAGGAGGCCCTCTTGGGAAGGCTGCGCAGTCTTGGGATTTCATCGGTGACCTCGAAAGAGGATATGTCCAATGCTTTTGGGTGTTCTACGTTTCCTCAACTTAGGCGAACGGTGGCCGAGTCCATCGCGGGGCCAGATCAGGCCTACTTCCATCACAGGCACGAATACAGCACCTTCACCATCACGGGGGCCGACGGGGAGCTTACCATGCACAATCGCTGTGGAGCTTTCATGGGCGACAGCCCTGCGGCAGTATTCTTTTCGCGCACATTTAGACGACCCGTGCAGAAGTGGATTGACTTTATGCGGGCGCAGGCTTGGCCTGCTGATGTTCCTCATCGTCCTCTCTCGCACCAAGAGTGGCTCGATCTACCTCTCGTTCCTCGGGCTCCTCCTCGTGATTGGGCGCAGGTGATGTGGCCCAGCGAGTCTCTGTGCACAGCATGGGCGCCGCTCATCCAACGCCCAGTGGACCTCTCGTGTCGTATATATGCCGATGATACCAGCAAGACGCATGTGGTGACGACAGCCAAAAATACGCAGTTCACTTTGAATACGGCTCACAGGGGCCTGACGGATGCGTTGAGGGAGAGTGGGTACGCGCACAACCGTGGGAAACGTTGCATTTCTCCGTCGTTCGTCGGTCGAGGAGCTCACGCACATGCTGCTGCGATCTTCGGGGGACAGGTGAAGGTGGAGGGGCAGGTGCAGCTTGATAACATCGCGCTCGGAATCCAGACTGCCGCGAACGGAGGAGTCCAAGGAGAGTTGAGGAGACGGATATTGGCATGCAGGAGGGGGTACTACTCGATGGGGAGGCTTTGGTCTCGGAACAGGGTGTGGCGTTTTACACGTACTGTTTTCGGGGCCGTGGTGCAGGGTGCGCTTTTGTCGGGCCTCGCCACCCTCATCCTGGCAGAGGCTCAGGAGTCTAGGCTTGATCGTGTGCTGGTCGGGTTCGGCCGAAAGCTGCTCGATGGCGATGCGCGTGCCGAGACGACGGTAGTGGGCGACGGCGGCCTACCCATGTTAGACGACGAGGGGCATGAGGTGCTCAAGTATAAGGCCCTCTCCGATGCGGTCGTCCTGCGCAGAGTGGGGGCGGCGCTTTCTGGGGTCGAACTCTGCGTCCGCCGACTTCGCACATATCGTCGCTGGCTCGTGCGTCCTTCTCGGCACCCTCAAGAGACCGCTGCGGTGTTTGGGCAGCTCCCGCTGGAGGAGACCCCCACGGTTTCGGAGAGCGGCACCCTCGGGAAGAAGGTGAACCCGTACGCTCGCAGGTTTGCTCAGGGTGTTCTGAGGCTCCTGGGCCGCTCCGACGCTAAGGAGCTGGAGGAGCTGCCCATGGTTTCGGCCCCGTCCCTGAAACCCTGGAGGCGCTTGAATGTTCGGGCGCTTTTTCTGGACGACGACCTTCGTGGGAGGTATCTTGCCTTGGATCCAGGCATTCTTCGAGCCGCGGCACGAACGGTAGCGGTTCCACCTCCTCCTGGACTGTATGGACGTGCTGAGGCCGTTCCCGAGGTGCCCGAAGTCGCCCCGCCGCCGCCTGCGGCGACATGGACATGCGATCTTCGCGGTCGCGACGGAGCTGAGTGCGGTCGAGTTTTCAAGACGAGACGGGCCCTTCTAGCGCACCAGAGGTTTTCTCTTGGGGGAGGCCATTCGTGCCGATCGGTGGTGCGCACGGCCACGGTTACGAACCAAAGTGTATTTTTTGCACTCAGACGTTTCGGACTCGGAGGATCGCCCAGGAACACCTCGCCCAGGCTACGCTTACAGGCAGGTGCTTCGCCCAGGCCTCCCCCTTCAAGCATCCCATCGTGCCGCCTGAGTCCCTGGAGTGCCCGTTTGTGTCTCTTAAGGTGTGCTCGGTGCACGGTGGTACCTCTTCGGATTTCTGCTGCTCCGTCGAACAGCCGTTTTGTACACTCTACGAGCTTTCTCGGCGCTTGCGCGAAGCCCACGCCCCACGGGAGCCTCTCTACTCGACGGTTCGGACGCGCTCTGATGTACCGCCTTCCCGACGAGGCCTCGCGGGAGGCAGGGGCTCGTTCTCGTTCAACCCAGCGAGGAGGTTCTCAGCCGAGAGGGCGGGCAGGCCTTTCTGGCTCGGCAGCCGCTTCCCGCAGGCGTGGCGGGGGACGCGGTGCCAGACGCAGCGCCGAGCCTCGAGGCGCCCAGCAGCGCGGACAGGCGTCGGCAGGAGGAGCGGCGGCGGCTCAGCTCGACAAGGCCTACGGCCTGGAGGCCGACGTGCTCAACAAGTGGCCGCCGATGGACCTTCAGACGATCGCCAAGATATTCCCCATCCTGATTCCTGGCGCGCTGGCAAACTCGCACCAGATTCGGGCTCTGAACGCAGCGGATTTTCAAACCTTTCTGTTCGACGAGAACGCCGAGATTGGGCATCAAGGACTGGCAGCAGGCAGGGCCTACGCGAAGCAAGCGGTGGCCATGAGGGAGGAACGCGACAAGGATCAGGCAAAGCCACTTCCCGAGGTAGCCAAGGGGCCGGCTTGCGTTCAAGTCTTTCTCATCGCGCGCAAAACAATCGTGAAGGCAGGCGTGGCGGCCGGGGCGGTCAACCAACAGAAGTGGCAGGAGCAGCAGCAGAAGCTGGACGGCATCACGAATCTTACGGAGTTCGGTCTCGCTGTGTTCCAGCGGCCATGCCTACTCCGATTGCCAGGGGGAGGCCGATGGCTGGGTCGACATCGGGCCTGGCAACCGCAGACCCCCTCCGCCTAGGCGGTTCCCAAGGGATTAAAGGAGGGGAGCGTCTCGGGGGCCAGGCCACAGCTGCGTCGGGGACCTTGCCTTTGTCGATTGCCACGAGGAAGTCGATTGCTGGGTCGTCATCGGGCCTGGCAATCGCAGACCCCCTCCGCCTCGGCGGTTCCCAAGGGATTAAAGGAGGGGAGCGTCTCGGGGGCCAGGCCAGGGCTTCGACGGGGACCTTGCCTCGGACGATTGCCAAGAGTGGATCGGCGACCGTGTCGTCTCCGATTGCCGCGAGTGGATCGGCGGCCCTGGCTACTTCGATTGCCAAGAGTGGCTCGGCGGACTTGGCTACTTCGATTGCCACGAGTGGATCGGCGAATCGGTCGTCTCCGATTGCTGCGAGTGGATCGGCGGCCTTGCCATCTCCGATTGCCTCGAGGGCCTCGGCGACGCGCACTGAGGGGGAGTGCGACCTCGAGGCGCGTGCTGCTGCTGTCTCTCGCCCGTCAGTTCCCCTTCCTCCTCCGAGACCTCCTCCTCCCCCTCCTCCTGCCAGACAGTACAGTGTTAAGGAGCTTGTGCGAGTTGCCACACGTTTTTGAACCCGGTTTCCGCTTTACCGCTCGGCCCTGGCGTCCCAAACTTTAGTGCGCCTCGCTTTTGCAATCGTGGTTGAGCGATGACAAATCGGGGCTCCCACCCGAGTGGGTGGCCGTTCTCGAATCGTCCCCGCATGGGGCACGCACGGTAGGTCGCAATCCCTCGAGATGCATTCGGAGGATTGATTTAAGTCGAATTCTGTCGACCTTCGGCCCGACACCGCTCCGCCGCCGCCGCGCCTCCTCCTCCTCCTCCTCCTCCTCCTCCTCCTCCTCCTCCTCCTCCTCCTCCTCCTCCTCCTCCTCCTCCTCCTCCTCCTCCTCCCCCTCCCCTTCCCCCTCCCCCCAGAGGAGGAGAAGATCCTGATGCCGCTGCCCTTCCCTCGTCGCCACGGCTGCGTTCGCCGCGCAGTTCTGGTCAAGACGCACGCCTTTCGAGGTCCGGGGGGTAGCAGTATCGGTCTTTGTTGCCCCCCACCTTGCCTGGACCGGGAAGTGCCAAAAGATTGATCAGGGTGAAAGGATGGTTTTGGTGGAAGGTTCCAGGGTCCAGGGTCCAGGACCCGTTCCCTTCGTGGCAAAAGCGGGTCTTGAGAGAAAATTGGTTTTGAGGGGTCGATGGGGTCGATGGGGCGAGTAGTTCGGACATGTTCGGTTCGGCGGTGTGCTCGCTTCCAGATACGTTCTTGCAGCTGCGCCTCGCCGAAAGCGCTCTAAGGGGGGCCCAGATCCCCCCGAGCGGTCGCCAGAGACCCGGGTTAGGACCCGCAGGCCGGACGACGAGACGACGAGGATCATTCGGGGGGTCCCGAGGACGACGACGACGAGACGACGAGACGACGAGGATGCTTTCCCGGGGGGGGGGCCCCAGTGTCCAGGACCCGTTCCCCTCGGGACCCGCTTCCCTCATGCCGAGCCCCGCCGTTGGCCAGGAGGGCGAGACGGAGGGCGAGGGAGGAGGGCTTCCGACCACGACCACGACCACGACCACGACGACGACGACGACGACGACGACGAAGACGACGACACCGACGACGACGACGACGACGACGACGACGACGACGACGACGACGGCGATGGCGACGACGGCGACGACGACGACGACGTACGCCGATTCGGCCAACGGTGGCCTTCGACGGCGACGTCCAGCCGGCGGCATCGCCGATGGTGGCGGCGACGCCGACGCTGACACGCGTTCGACGGCCTTCGCTGGCACCGATGGCAACGCCGACGCTGACGTCTGACGGCGTTTGCGGACGCTGCCGGTTTCGAAGCTGACATTAATCGGCGGCGGGCGAGTAGGGGGAAGCGGGATGGAGAGGGCCTTGTCGGAGGGCGGCGGGGCTTCTTCTCAGAAGCCCTCGCGCCTTCTGAGAGGTTCTCTGCGTCTTCGGGAAGGCTTAGAGAACGTCTCAGAAGGCCGGGGAATTTCCGAACCTTCTGAGAATTCCTTCTCCTTCTCATTCTCCCCCCCGGGCGCACGCCGCCTAATTATGAATGATTCTCGGCGTTCGACGTTGGACATCCGGCGCTGGTCGGCAATTGGACGGCGGTTGCAAGCGCGGCACCGCGCTGGAAGACGGAGGACGGGGGGCGACAGGCGGAGGACGGAGGACGAGTGCCGAGGCTGGGACGAAGGATTGGGGACGAGAGACGAGACAAAATAACGAGGGTGGGTGCCAATGCAGTCAAGACGCTGAAATGAGGACCGCTTTGGGCTCAGGAGGGGCCACGATGCTCGGACCGTTCCTTAGATTAATGTCAGGGAACGTATTTGTGGCCGAGGCTGGCCGCGGCGAGAAAAGCCCCTTCGTGCCTTGTTGTGCGTTCCTTTTGTCAGCATGCTGGCTGTAATGAAGGACTGGGATCCTCGGGAAAATTGGTCTTGAGTTTTTTCGCCGCTTGTCCTCCATATGGGCCCTCCACGGGCCCCGGGGCTGATAAAAACTCACTCGGGATGCAGCATTGGCCCCAGGGGGAAACCCCAGGGTCCACGACCCGCTTCCTTCAGGACCCGCTTTCTCCATATCCAAAGAGGCAGTGCGCGAGAAAAGGGGAAGACGGAGGGCGTGGACGCAGATCAGGTACGACGGCCAGTAGAGCTCAAGGTGGAACGCTTCCAGCGTCCAGGAATATCAGTTGGTGCTGGAGTATCTTTGATGTCCGAAGCCCTCGGTCGTTCAAGGTTGAGCTATCCACGCGGTGCAGGATACCAGCGCAGACGTCATCGCGTCGTGAACTTGTCGGCAGGAGTGAGTCAGGAGGGGAAAACACACACAGACACAATGAAGCGTCGATCCCCGAGAAAGTATGGGAAACTATGGGAAGTGGGAGGGGGTGGAAGACGAGCACCCAGGAAGCATAGCAAACAATTGGGAATCCTGTGATTTGTGCCTACCTGTCTGTGTGTGTCCCTGGGCCCCTTCAGCGAGGGGCCGCTCCCTCTCGGCAGGCCGACCCCGTGGCCGCCGCCGGGGAGCTGGAGCCGCTGGCGCACGCGGGCGAGGACGACGTCCTCAACAGGGCTCCGCCCCCCCGCGGTGTGCCCGCGCGTTCCGAGGAGAAAAAAGGTACCCATACCTCTACCCGTCGCCGTTTTCCCTTTGGGGCCTCCTGGGCGGCCCTCGTCACCACCGCTGGATTCGCCGGGAGAGGTCCGGGGAGTAGCGGTATCGGTACCTGTTGGTTTCCCCACGCGTGTCCCAGGGTTTGGACCCAGACATCCCCTCGTTGCAAGAAAATCGCGACGGGAGGGTGCCCCAGTTTTGGCCTCCGGATGCCCTCGCGTAGCGAAATGAGAACACGCTTGGGGTGGGGTGCCTGTAGTCCGGGGGAAGGGTACCTGTAGTCCAGGGGTGTACCCGTGGTCTGGGGGGGACTACGTGTTCACGCGTCGCCGCACGCGTGGATGTAGTCCTGTGGGGGTACCTGTAGTCCAGGAGGGGGTACTTGTAGTCCGAGGGGGGGTACTTGTACACCGCCGGGGGGGGGTACCTGTAGTCCGGCGGAGGGGTGCCTGTAGTCCGTGGGGTACCTGCAGTCCAGGGGCCCAGAACTAGTGAGGGGCACAGAGTAGACCCAGACATCCTCTCATTGCAAGAAGATCGCGACGGGGGAGTACCTATTTTTGGCCTCCGGATGCCCTCGCGTAGTGAAATAAGAACAGCGAACACGTCGGATGTTTGGGGACAGTCGGAGCTCGTCGTATTCCTTCTCCGGGAGGAGGCCGGCTTGTGACCACATGCGCTCCTTGGCGTGGGCGGTGGGTTCACGCAGAGTTGGAGCGGCGGCGACCGCGGCGTGGGCGTTCAAGTGTGAATGCCGCTGGTGGTTCGGAATCGGCAGGTACCGGACGATCCGCGCCATCCTGCACGATACGAGCTTTTTCGCGAACTGCGGAGAGCATCGGGTCTTGCATGAACATACCCGTTCATTATGTTCACCTTTGCAGCTTTCATGTTCACTACTTTCCATCGGCGTTCACAGGCACTGCAAGGCAGCATTTGTTGCATAGCTGGATCCATAATACTAATAATACTAATAATAGTAATCGTAATGATACGAATGAAATCCGCGCTATCGGATCTTCGAACAGACCACACGGTGTTTGAGACGGAGGCCGACGCAGTCTCGACGTGAACCCGGTGTATGTGGTCACTCCTTCCACCCCTCGGGGCGTGCAGAGTCCCCGCTTCCACCTCGCAGGTGCCCCTGGAGGTGGAGAGGGCGGGGGGTACTTCACCAGCCTCGAACTCATCCCTATCCCTAAGATTGACACGCCAGAAGGCGATGACAATCTTCGGGATGCGCCCTGAAAAACGAAGGGAATCCCTAGGATTGGCATTGTGATGAGGCGATGCCCCGCTTGGGGATGGGGATCTGTTCCAGGCTGGCAAGTACTGGTCGCGCCGCCCAGGGCAGGGGGGGGGGGGCAGGCCTCAGAGGACGGCGGGGCTTCTCGGAGGCCCTCGCGCCTCCCGAGAGGGCCCCTTTTGCGTCTCCGGAGAAGGCGCAGGAAGCATCTCATCAGGAGGGAAAGAAACACACAGACACAATTAATCGTCGATCCCCAGGAGAATATGCGAAAATATGGGAAGTGGACAAAAACCCAGAAAGTATGGGACAATATTTGGAATACCTTTATTTGTGTGTATTTATTTGTGTGTTCTGGGGCCCTTTTTATCTCAGACGGCCAGAGGCCTCCTGAGCCTTCTGGGGAGGCCCGCCCCGTCCCCCCGGGGCGCGCCGCCGAGACCAAAACGGCCGGCGGCGCACAGAAGCCGAGAGGGCCAAGAGGGGAGCGAGAAGAGCGGGGACGATGAGTCGCAGCGCCTGTGCCGATTCGACCGGTATTCTTCAGCCACGCGCAGAGGGGGGTGGGGGGGAGGGGGGAGGGCTTCTTAAAAGCACCCCTGCTTCTTGGAAGGCGCGGGCCTTGTCTATAGATGTAAGGCCGGCGCCTTCTAAGAAGCAGCCTGCTTCTAAGAAGCCCTCCCCCCTCCCCCACCCCCTTGTGCGCGCCGCCAAATTCTGGCAAGCCCGACTCGATCCGATTCCGATATCCCAGACCCCTCCCGTCGTGAACAAAAGCACGACGGGGCGGTTGGGGGCTGTTTTCAGCCTTTGGGGGCCCTCGCTTGGCCCCGGAACCCTCAGAAAGCGATTCAGGCCTCTGGGGGTCGACGTTGTGAGAAACATGTCGTCAGGGGCCTGGAATTGTAGCAGTCCTCTGTGACCCAGTACGGCGGGGGCTTGAGTGAAAGAATATGCCCGGAGGTTTCAGACCCTGGAGGTTTTTGTATCTGATGAGGGAGGCGGTGATATCCACTGGCTTCCAGACCTTGGATTCCTAATCCAAGGGTTATTTAACCAATTTCATCGCCGCACCCACACGGCGTTGTTGCGCATCTTGGCGCAATGGATCCGATTCGATCTCGATTCCGTACCGACGCAGCCAGATCCGACACACATTCTGGTCCGATCCGATTTCCCAATGTTGTGCTGACCGAGCCTGGCTTGTCCCTATCCTTTCGGGCAGGGGACGCTGTCGTTGTCGCTTTCGCTGCGAACTATGTCTGCTAGTGGCGAGCATCGTAGTCTGCCCATAAGCGACCGGTGGCACTTTTAGCGGCGCGTATGTTTTGAAGGATCCGTTCTCTCCAGGAGGCGGTGAGTACTGGTGGACGTGTCGCATATCCCCACCAGCCAATCCAGAAGCGGCCCTCAGATAGCGCCGGAGGTTGGGGAATAGAGGCACGGGCCAGACTCAGCACGCTAAGCCCTGCGTGAGCGCACCAGCCCCCAAAAGCATCCCGTCTTGAAGAGACAGCTCGAGTGGGGGATCGACTACATAATTGATTTACCCAAGCATTAATTTGTTCGTCGGATCTACGAAACATGCGTGCAATGCTCGTGGGTTCACGAACATCATACGCATTTGTCGTACACTTGACGAGGACATCAATTCTGGGGTAAATCAATGTTGTAGTCGATTCCCCAACCTAACAGTGGGAGAATCGCAAATATCTGGGATGGATGTGCGTGGTTCTCGAGAGCCGCTCACCGAGCAGGACCGCCTATACGATCCGATTCGATGTGATTCGATGTTTGCCAGCCAGGGCTACGGTTTTCGATTCGGTTCGATATCGGCTGGAAATCCAACGGCATCGGCCGGGGCCAGCCAAGGCCAGGCGCGACAGTTCGATTTCGATTCGATTCGGGACGATCCCCATGGGGATCGTCCCGAATCGAACCGCCTGCAGGAATCGAATCGAATCGAATTGAAAACGGAATTGGATCGCCTGCAGGCGATCCGATTCCGTTCTCGATCCGATCCGATGTGACGGTTCGATCCAGCTCGGGCCTGCCGAAGCCCCAACGCAGGACGGCTCGAACGCCGATGGCTTCGTCTGCAGACAGTGGGGGCGCCCTGAGACCCGTCGTCGCGGAAAAAAAGAGAACCGTTGTCAAAATCACGGCGGGAGCCGCAGATCCTGCGAGGAAAGGAGGACGAGAACGGGAGGGAGGCTCGGGAGGACGAGGAAAGGAGGAAAGGAGGAGGAGGACGAGGAAAGGAGGAAAGGAAGAGAAGGATGAGGAGAAGGAGGAGGAGGAGGAGGAGGAGGAAAGGAGGAGGAGGAGGAGGAAAGGAGGCGGAGGAGGAGGAGGAGGAGGAGGAGGAGGAGGATCCGAGACAGGGCGGCGCCAAGGTCTCGGGGAGGGGGGGGATGCCTGGGCGCCGCCTCTCGGCCCGAGCAGCTGGCTACTTGTGCGCAGGGGATTGCGCGTGGCAGGAGGCCCTGCGGCGGCCTTCAACTTTTCGGGGCGCCTGATATCTCAGCAGCTGCTCGTAATCCCTGATTAATCGACCCCCCTAAAAAACGGACCCCCCTCCAAATGCAACCTGGTATTCCGGACCCCCCGCTTCGACGGGGCGCCTCAATAAATTGGACCCCGTAAGCTCGAATCCATAGAAAGCGCCCTAATAAACCGGACCCCCCAATTACAGAAAAGGCGCCTAAAGAAATTGGACCCGGCGGACGATTAATAAGGGATCTGGAGTACAGGGTTTCCCGTGGGCGTGCCCGTGGAGCTTCCCGAGGCCTTCTGGAGCTTTCTGGGCAGCGCTCGGGCCAGCAGCATCTCTGGGGGCCTCCCACGAGGCTCATGGGAGGCTCATGCAGCCAAGACGCTGGAATACGGACAGCCGTGGGCTCAGGAGGGGCTTCGGCGTTCGGACTGCTGTATAATCTCCGAGTAGTGGATCGACTACAGAATTGATTTACCCCAAAGTTCTTGCCATCCATCCTGTGGTGTTGGGTCTTCGTTTCGAAGAGGCAGCGCCCCGCGTTCCTCACCTCACCTCACCTCCCGCGCTCCTGCCCCTCCTCCCTCCTCCCATCCTTGACCTCTGCCCTCCGCATGTTTCTGTTTCGGCACACCCCTCACTTGCTTCGTGGCCCCATAGGGAGCTCCACCGAAGGCTCCGTTGGCAGGGTTCGCATGGCGCCACCGCACCAATTTCGCCACACCCCTCACACGCTTCGTGGCCCCATAGGGAGCTCCACCGAAGGTCCCAGTGGCAGGGTTCGCGTGGCGCCACCGCACCCATTCTGGCACACCCCTCACACGCTTCATGGCCCCACAGGGAGCTCCACCGAAGGCCCCAGTGGCAGGGTTCGCATGGCGCCACCGTACCCTTTCAGGCACACCCCTAACACGCTTCGTGGCCCCATAGGGAGCTCCACCGAAGGCCCCAGTGGCAGGGTTCGCATGGCGCCACCGCACCAATTCTGGCACACCCCTCACACGTTTCGTGGCCACATAGGGAGCTCCAACGAAGGCCCGCAGCCCCATACGGAGCTCCACTCCACCGAAGGCACCAGTGGCAGGGTTCGCATGGCGCCACCGCACACATTTCGGCACACACGTTTCGTGGCATCATAGGAAGCTCCACCGGAGGTCCCGTGGCAAGGTTCGCATGGCGCCACCGCACCAATTCCGGCACACCGTCACACGTTTCGTGGCCCCATAGGGAGCTCCACCGAAAGCCCCAGTGGCAGGGTTCGCGTGGCGCCACCGCACCCGTTTCGGCACACCCCTTACACGTTTCATGGCCTCAGTGGGAGTTCCACCGAAGGCACCAGTGGCAGGGTTCGCATGGCGCCACCGCACCAATTTCTCCACACCCCTCACACGCTTCGTGGCCCCATAGGGAGGCCCCAGTGGCAGGGTTCGCGTGGCGCCACCGCACTCATTCTGGCACATCCTTCACACTTCGTGGCCCCACAGGGAGCTCCACCGAAGGTCCCAGTGGCAGGGTTCGCATGGCGCCACCGCACCCATCCTGGCACACCCCTTGCACGTTTCGTGAACCCATAGGGAGCTTCACCGAAGGCTCCGTTGGCAGGGTTCGCATGGCGCCACCGCGCCAATTTCGGCACACCCTTCACGCGTTTCGTGGCCCCATAGGGAGCTCCACCGAAGGCCCCAGTGGCAGGATTCGCATGGCGCCACCGCACCCGTTCCGGCACACCCCTCACACGCTGCATTGGCCCCACAGGGAGCTCCACCGAAGGCCCCAGTGGCAGGGTTCGCATGGCGCCACCGCGCCCATCTCGGCACACCTCTCACGCGTTTCGTGGCCCCACAGGTGGCTCCTCGGAAAGCGGGACTCTCAACTGCTGTTTTCACAATTACATTTGGTTGGGTCCTTCGCCAGGATATTCCCGGAAAGGGCATGAGCCCAGGGTTCTCTTTTAGTAGGTAAACCTGTCCCCCGGTGCCAACTTGAAGGAGGCCGGCGAATTTTTTCCCTGATAAATATCGAGGTCGAAGGAGGCCGGCGAATTAAAATTTGAGGATGTCTCGAGCGAAACGCTTGTTTTTGAAATCCCGATCGATAAATCACAGGGTGCGGGACACCTCAGCACGACCACACCTTCAGCATGACCACACCCCAGCACGACCACGCCCAGCACGACCACGCCCCAGCACGACCACACCCCAGCACGACCACACCCCAGCACGACCACACAGCACCAGCACGACCACACCCCAGCACGACCCGATCGATAAATCACAGGGTGCGGACCACCCCAGCACGACCACACCCCAGCACGACCCCACCCCAGCACGACCCCACCCCAGCACGACCACGCCCCAGCACGACCACACCCCAGCACGACCACACCCCAGCACGACCACTCCCCAGCACGACCCCACCCCAGCACGACCCCACCCTAGCACGACCACACCCCAGCACGACCACACCCCAGCACGACCCCACCCCAGCCCACACCCCAGCACGACCCCACCCCAGCACGACCACACCCCAGCACGCAGCACACCCCAGCACGACCACACCCCAGCACGACCTTACCACAGCACGACCACACCCCAGCACGACCACGCCCCAGCACGACCACGCCCCAGCACGACCACGCCCCAGCACGACCACCCCCCAGCACGACCACCCCCCCAGCACGACCACCCCCCAGCACGACCACCCCCCAGCACGACCACACCCCAGCACGACCACTCCCCAGCACGACCACACCGCCTTGGTTGAGTGGTTGCCTGTCGTCGTGGAATGTTTCGTGGGGTGTCTCGTGGAATGTTTCGCGGGGTGTCTCGTGAAATGTTTCGTGAGGTGTCTCGTGGAATGTTTCGTGAGGTGTCTCGTGGGCTGTTTCGTGAGGTGTCTCGTGGGATGTTTCGTGAGGTGTTGCCCAGTTGGGTATCATGAAAACGTGTCCATGCTCCACATGTCTATATCCCTTTCCGGGTTCGTGGGTCCATCATGTTTTTCCGTCGGCTCGACGAAAAATATACAGAATGCTCGATATATCTACGGAGCATTCGAGGTATTTCCCGTAGCAGATTCGACGAACAGCTTCATTTTGGAGTACACCGATTTTGTAGTCGATCCCTTGCTTAAAATTTAGGTCGGGGCACCTATTCGCAACCGAGGATCCCCGTGGCCAGAAAATCCCCTCCATTCCTGCTTCAGCGCTCCCTTCTGGTAGCACGATGGCTGTATAGAGTTCAATCTCTCCCAGCGATTCGACGCGGCCCCCTCTCGTTCCTGGTAGCATGGTGTCTGCAGGACCTCCCAAGGCGGGGCACATTTCGATCCGACCGATCCGCGAGCTCGCCCGGCTCGATCCGATTCGAGTTCAATCTCTCCCAGCGATCCGATGCGGCCCCGTGTTTGCACGGTCCGGTTGCGTGCTCAAGGCGCAGCCGATCCGATTCGCTTCGATTCCGGCCTCGTGCGCCGATGCGGCCCGATTTGGTGCAGGTTCCGATCCGATTATTCCCGGCTTCTCGGCTCGATGCAGATCTGTCCTGCAAGGTGGGCCCTCGGGGCATTTTGGGGACTTCCAGCGAAGAAACTCAGCATCGTGTACACATTCGAGTGAAGGGGGCGGGCGGAACGGTCTTGCACAGTCCCGGGTGTGTGGCTGTAGTGAGGCTCTGCGGTGCGGATTGTCGCGTGTTGCTGTTCTTGCTGGCGTCGCCCCGCGGTCCAACTGCGCCTCGACCTGCCCGTGACCCACCAGCGCCGCGATCCACCCGCGCCGCGAGACATCCGCGCCCCCCTCGCTCGTATCCGCCGCTGCGCGGCCCCAGAGGCTCCGACCCCTGCCCTGGGGCAAGGCCTTCGCCGCGGACCTGCTTCTGATGGTCCTGCCGTCTCTGATGGTCCTGGGGCCCGATGCCAGGAGGAGGGAGTCGTGGAGACGCCCGGGTTGAAGAATCAGACCGTCGGAGACATGGGACGGCGACCGCGACGACGGCGAGCGCGGTGGCGACGACGACGGCGACGACGACGACGACGACGGCGGCGGCGGCGACGACGACGACAGCGACGACGACGGCGACGACGATGGCGACGCTGACGACGACGAGGCGGCGGAGGTTCCGCGGCGAGCCGAGGGTGGAAGGGAGAGGGGGCAGGCCTTCTCGGAAAGAGGCGATCTGGGAACGAGATTTGGGAACGAGAAGGAGGAGGAGGAGGAGGAGGAGGAGGAGGAGGAGGGAGGAGGAGGAGGAGGAGAGGAGGAGCAGGAGAAGGAGGAGGGAGGAGGAGGAGGAGGTGGAAGAGGAGGAGGAAGAGGAGGAGGAGAAAGAGGAGGAGCAGGAGAAGGAGGAGGAGGAGGAGAGGAGGAGGAGGAGAGGGAGGAGGAGGAGGAGGAGGAGGAGGAGGAGGAGGAGGAGGAGGAGGAGGAGGAGGAGGAGGGAGATTCGGGAACGAAATTGTCGGAGGTCCGCGCGCCGCGCGCGCGCCGAGGCTACGCGGGCCGCGGTGCAGCAGCTGCGCGACGCGGAGGGCGTGGCGAAGGTGCGGAGGTCGCTAGCGGCCAGGCTGGAGGCCTGGGCGCTCGCGGCCCGCGGGCGCGGGGCGAGGGGCGAGGGCGAGGGCGAGGGCCTGCTCCTCCTCCTCCTCCTCCTTCTCCCCCTCCTCCTTCTCCTCCTCCTCCTCCTCCTCCTCCTCCTCCTGCTCCTCCTCCTCCTGCTCCTCCTCCTCCTCGTGAGGGGCCAGAGCTAGCGCACGCGGAGCAAACGCTCCTGACCGTGGCGCCACTGGAAGCCGCGTTTCGCTGCTTGCGGACGCCCTGGCACGACGCTGCGAGGCGTGCCTGGCACGCCGTGAAGCCCGCTCGCAAAGGCCAGTCTGCAATCAGACACATCACCGGGACCATTACGACGGGCTCCAGCAGCACCACCGCGACCAGTACGATGATACCCATTGGCATCACCGTGACCAACACGACGCTGACCAGCAGCACCACTGTGACCGGCACGATGGTAACCAGAAGCATCACCGTGACTAGTGCGTCGTGCTCCTGCAGCACCATCGTGACCAGTACGAACTTGCACTACAAGCATCACCACGAGCAGAACCAGTGCAACCCGCATGCCCAGGAGCACACGAACGGGGGAAGGGGCCCCAGCCCTCGCAATCTTGGTGAAGGGGTTGTTCCGTCAACAGGTGCGCGCGGCACTTCATCAATTCTCGCAGTACCCAAGATCGGGGCCGGTGCGCGCGGCAATTTACCATCCCTCGCAGTACCCGGTAGCCACACGTGCCACCAGCACGACTAATGTTGCCACCAGCATGCCGACAACTACCACGACAACGGCCACGACAGTGGCCACAACCGCCACCACGACGACTCCTGCCGCCACCGCCTCAGCCACTACGAATGCGAGGACCAACTCTCGGGAGCAGCCCCAGCGCCACCACGAGGCCACTGCACCAGCTCGGCCGAGCTGCACTTCCACTCCCACCTCCGCAGCTGCGCCGAGAGCGCCTCGGGAGCTTCCAGCACGTCGTCCAGCCCCCCCGTACAGCAGCATGCCACAGGCTGGGTGGCCGCAGGTGCCAGCGGTGGTCGCAGCCCCGATGAGCAGGATCCACCGCGTACAGTCGACCCGCACAGCAAGGACGGGCAACCCTCCCAGGGGTACCCCTGCGTCCCTGCCTCTCCGGTCCATCCTCGGCCACTTTTTCGTTGGCCGCTCCCCCCTCGAAACGCTTCGACGTGGGCGTCCAGGGCCCTTGCACCCTCATCGCGCATTCTTACTGGAGGATGACGATTAATAACTGACCGGGGGTCGTGTTCACGCGGCGGCGCCCGGGATGACGATTAGAAAAAGCCGGCCGCGGGCTGGAAAACTATTTTCCCGGAAAGGGCATAAGCCCAGGGTTCTCTTTTAGATGGTTTCCCCCCGGGTTTGACGGGAAGAGGGCCGGCGAATTTCTTTTGCGATAAATAACGAGTGGGAAGAGGGCCGGCGAATTAAAATTTGAGGATGTCCCTAGCGAAACGCTTGTTTTTCAGAATTTGTTGAGGATGTCTCGAGCGAGACGCTGGTTTTGCAGAGTTGGGGATGTCTCGAGCGAAACGCTTGGTTTCAGAATTTGTTGAGGATGTCTCGAGCGACACGCTGGTTTTGCAGAGCCGACCGCGACACGGAAAAGCGCCCCTCGCGCAGGAATTCCAAGGATGTCTCGCGCGTGCCGCGTCCCGCGCGCGGGTATTTGGATTTCTTGGGATTTTGACAGGATGTCTCGAGCGAAACGCTTGTTTTTCATAATTTGTTGAGGATGTCTCGAGCGAAACGCTGGTTTTGCAAAATTGGAGGATGTCTCGAGCGGTGGCCTCGTGGGGGGCCAGAATTCAAAGGATGTCTCAGGCGATATGCTTGTTTTCACGTCCCGCTCGCAGGAATTCCGAGGATGTCTCGCGCGTGCAGCGTCCCGCGCGTAGGAATTCAGATGATTTTGACAGGATGTCTCGAGCGAAACGCTTGTCCCCAGCACGTTCCGTAGCGCGTCCCCTTGGCAGGTCCCGCGATGCGTCCCCATGGCACGTCCCTTGGCACGTCGCTTGGCGCGTCCCTTGAGACGTTCTGCGTCGCGTCCTCCTGGCATGTTCCCCTGTCCATTAGCTCTGGGGCAGCTACTATGTGTTCAGGCAGCTCGAGCTTAAGATCCAGATCAGTTCGGTCAGGACTCGGATGCAAAGGAGGACTCGATCCACGAGGCTATAGAGCACAATCGCGCCATGGCACATCGCAATTCAGCACGGCGCAGCACAGCACTGATTTCGGCACGGTACATCAAGGTCGATGCACTCAGCATTGCAACTTGGCACGTTCCTTGGCACGTTCCGTGGGGCGTCCTTTGGCGAGTCCCCCTGGCACGTCGCGTCGCGCGTCCCCTGGCACATCCCGTGGCACATCCATTGGCACGTTCCGTAGCGCGTCCCCTTGGCACGTCCCGCGGTGCGACCCCATGGCACGTCCCCTGGCACGTCGCCTGGCGCATCCCTTGGGACGTTTCGCGGCGCGTCCTCCTGGCATGTTCCCTTGTCCATTAGCTCTGGGGCAGCTACTATGTGTTCAGGCAGCTCGAGCTTAAGATCCAGATCAGTTCGGTCAGGACTCGGATGCAAAGGAGGACTCGATCCACGAGGCTATAGAGCACAATCGCGCCATGGCACATCGCAATTCAGCACGGAGGCCTAGGAGACTGCCAGGATGTGTCCATCACCCTGGATGTCTCAATCACAGGGTGCGGGACACGTTTTGGTCAGGGGCATGGCCCCAGGAAGCCCCAGGAGGTCCCAGGATGTTTAGGGAATGCCTAGGAAGCCCCAGGAGGCCCCAGGAGAGCCCAGGAGGCCCCAGGAGGCCCCAGGACGTCCCAGGACGTCCCAGAAGGCTTCAGGAGGCCCCAGAAGGCTACAGGAGGCCCCAAGAATGCCGAGGAGGCCCGAGGAGGCCTTAGGAAGGCCCAGGAGGCGAAAGGGGCGAAAGGGACCCACGTGTTTTCACACTTGTTCCGCTCAGGGGCGAAAGGGACCCACGTGTTTTCACGCTTGTTCCGTTCAGGGACGAAAGGGACCCACGTGTTTTCACGCTTGTTCCGCTCAGGGGCGAGCTTCGTCCCGCTTCGGAACTGAATCGGATCTTGAGCTCAAGCTGGTCGAGCGCCCCGCGCGTTTCGATTGCGGCCAGCTCTGGGCGAGCCACGGGTTAATTCAGCTCGAGTTTAAGATCCATATCAGTTCGGCCAGGTGTCGGATGCAAATGACGACTTGGTCCACAACGCAATTCGTGGGGTGTCTCGTGGAATATTTCGTGGGGTGCCTCGTGGAATGTTTCGTGAGGTCTCGTTGAATGTTTCGTGGGGTGTTCCGTGGTGTGTCTCGTGGGGTCTTCCGTGGGGTGTTTTGCGGGGTGGTTCGTGGTTTGTGTTTGGCTTCCGTTCGGGTCCGCCTCTTGCTTCGTCCCGCTTCGGAACTGAATCGGATCTTGAACTTAAGCTGGTCGAGCGCCCCGCGCGTTTCGATTGCGGCCAGCTCTGGGCGAGCCACGGGTTAAGGCAGCTCGAATTTAAGATCCAGATCAGTTCGGCCAGGAGTCGGATGCAAAGAACGACTTGGTCCACAACGCAATAGAGCACAGCACATGTCAACGCATCATGACACGTTCCAAGTCAGCACAGCGCGGCAGAGCACAGCCCCTGGCACGGCACATCGCCATCAATGCCTTCAGCATTGCAAGTGCCCGTCGCCTAGTTCGGTGTCGCGAAAACGTTTCCATGCTCCGCATTTCCGTATTCCTTTCCGGGTTCGTGGGTCGATCATGTTTTAATCGTTCTCCTCCAGTCAGAAAATCATGCAGAAATAGCAGGAAACTATGTTTGAATCGTTCTCTCCCATTTCTTATCAATCGTCATCCCGCATTACTGTGCGGGTTGACCGCAGTCTGGCCGCCGACGGCGACCACGTTGGGCATGGCGCCCCGTGCCGGCCCTCCCCGTCGGCGCCGTGCGCTGGGCCCCTCGGGCGCTGGCCAGAGCGTGCTCGGCCGAGCATCTCCACGCCGCCCGGGGCCAGGCGATGCCCAGCGCGATGCACCGGGTCCCGGTGACGGTGTTGGCATCGCTCGGACGTGTGCATCTTTCTTTCGGCGAGGGCCATCGAGGAGCATCCTTCATCATTTGGCGGAAAAACCACGCACGAAACCGAACAAATCACAGGGAATGGACGTCCGAGCGATGGCCAGCGGTGGCCTCCTGCACGACTTCGGCCCCCGTGAAGTGTTTCGAAAAGGGAGTGTCATGATGAGCGACGAGGAGGAAGAAGGGCGGAAGGGGAGGAGAAACGATTCCACGAGATTGGATCATCAGTCTCGTCCAGCTCCAAGATCTAAGGTCTTTCAGTGCCCAGATACTTACCCAGAGATCTTAGAACCGATGCGTTTGCATGACCTCAGGTTGGATTTCCATACGAACACGGCACCGAAGGCCGTTGGGCCTAAGATTTCTAGAGCAATCTTGTCGCACTCTTCCATATGAGGTCATTCAACCGGGAACCGTTGGAACTCTTATATGTTTGACTATTCTTTTCTCCTCCCCAACCATCCTCAGTCCCCCCCCTCCTTTCCCCCCCCTCCTTCTCGAGAGACAGAGAGGGAGAACCAAAAAGAGAGGAATGATCCGATGTAGAAGAGGAGGAGAGCGAGGAGAGAGGGACTTGCTGTGGCAACGTGAGGCGCTGTGCTGTTCTCCATATGTGCCACAGGCAAACGACACGGTTTGTGGGCAACGTTTGCCCTGGACTTCAAAAGGGAGATTATGTTTCTCGTCCTCTCTAAGCGGGGGTGGGAGGGGGGGGGAGCGCTCCCAGCGGCGACAAATGTATGTTTTATCTGCCGCGGTTGCCGCGGCTTTGGGGCTGCGGCGTTTGAGCTTGTCCTTTTTGCTGCGATACGCGCGATGCCGAAAGACGTGGTTCTGTTGATTTTGGGCCGCTCAATCGTTCTCGGCCCCAACTATTATTTTAACAACTCTTGGGCTCGCATTACCCTGGCGAACCTGCCCGAAGCTCTCAGG